GAATTTAAAATGCAAATGTTGTTTACCATGAATAGTGTTTATGTTGTTTTCATGATCTGTTTTTCATATGAAAATTATATAAATATTATGTTTGTTTAAAATGATAAATGAATTTTTAAAATTTGAATTAACCAGCGTTTGAATAATAATAAATTCATGTGATATTAAATTAGAAATTATTACTAAATTGCGCTATATTTGTAATGTTGTGGTTAATCTGACCTAGATTATAAAGTTTGTAAATAAAATGCAGATTATTTTTGTTGTTGTTGTAATAAATATTAATAAACTTTATAATTTTTTACTCTCTCTCTCTCTCTCTCTCTCTCTCTCCCGCTTTTATATTATTAAAATTGAAATCAAAAACAAATTTTGCTTCAATATCTTTATATTGATAATTTATAATTTACTATATAATTAATAATATTTTCATAATAATATTCAGTTTAACAAAACTATCGTTTAAAACCCCATAACGTATCTCCACTTACAGGACATTATTGTATACCGTAAAACATCAAATATACTTGCGTTCAATGATAGCAACATTTTACGCAAGGAATGGACTATATTTGGGTATCATTATTGATCCCTTTAAAATGTGTGGAATTTACTATAAATTGCACAACTATTTGACGTTTTGCGGTAATAATATAATTTCCTGTATATATTTAATTTAATACTTTAATTAATTATAATATAATCTTATGTAAAAGTCTAATAAAATTAACATTATTATTGCTTTTACATACTGTAGTCTAATTTAATATTAGATAATTTTGGGAATTATAATAATATTTTTATAGGAATCTAATGAATAATATATAATTGATTTAATAATAAATAAACAAAAACTCCACAATTCTTAGGTTAGTACGAAAAAAGTAAAAGTTATCATATTCTGTAATGGTTTTAAACAATATGGTAAAATATTTTTTGTTCCCTACATCTGCTTTTAACATAAGCTAATAATTAATGTAGAAATACTTTTTAATAAAAACTACTATAGAATATAATGTATAGTGAAAAGTATCATTACTTTTTCATATAAAATTCATTACAGAATACAATGAAAGTAATTTTATATTAATAACAATGCTTTTGTAATTTTTTATTCATATTTTTTACATTTAAAATATTTTAAAACTTAAAAGGATGTTTATAATTTAATTACAAATTGTAATTTACTAAATTATAATCAATAATATTATTATAATTTACAATATATTAATAGTCAATATTATTTGTTATATAAATGTTAAAATTAATAAATCTAGGTCTATTGTATCATAATAAATCATTTTAATTAATCTAGATTTTTGAAATGGTGTCAGTTCAAATTTATACATTTTGGCACATATTTTACATATTTCTACAATTTTTTGATTATTTTTATTTTTTTTAATTCTATTAAATTATCGATTGTTTTATTCTTATTATTACTTCAATAATCTAATGATTTTTACAAACATTTAGTTTATAATTATCTCAACATTCGTTGATTCAAAACATAATTTTGTTAATTTAATGATTAAGTATATTCTATATAAATAATAAAATGATTGTTGAATTGAACTTAATTTAATTTAAGATTCAATATATAGTCACAAATAATATTAAAATATATGTCAATATTAAACTGTTTGAATAAATTACCAGAATTTGTGTCTTCACTAAAATTCACTAAAGACTGTTTAGCTCACGGATAGTACAGCCAAAAGTCAGTTGTATACACTGTGACTATAAAAACTAATTTTGTATTACATTATTATATATGAATATACAGTACTGTACAGTACAGTACTCTATAGAGTCTATACGCACAATATTTTAGAAGTTTATATTGATTTTCTTCAAATGTCATTAAATCTTTGATAATTGTCTTGAAATTAAAACTACTTTTAGTCTTATTTAACATATATTTTAATATTGTTTGTGATTAGTTTAATGAAGTTATAATAGAAATTATAATAATCTTAAAATTGAAATTTTAGTAAATTGCAATCAAATTGCAAAGAATCTAAACTAAAATTTTCAATTTGATTAGAAAATTGATTTTTCGACGAGAAATGGAAAGTATTATGTTTTTAGTTTATTTCTCAATTACTGTTTAGTTCTAAGCATTTAACGGGTCATCAAATCTTTGAGCAATTCTTTCTATTGATAACAAATAAAATCTATAATAAATTATATTCTGTGATTAATTCTGTGCTCCTATTGTTTGTAAAAAGCATACAATTGTATGAATAATACTTTACGACATAATAATGGAAAGAAGGAAAAGAAATTGCAATAAAAATAAGATTTCAAATAATATATGGTTTGAAAAAACAACGGACGGCTTCTATAATATAATCAAAATTATTAATTACTTTAAATTTATGTATACTTTTATACTTTATTCATATGTTTCACAATATTATTGTATTATCATTTAGTTGACGAGAAATAACTTAAATATTAGTACTTTAAAGTAAATAAATAAAATAATTACATTTATGATCAATTATATTAATTAAACCCTACCAGGAATATCTATTATTTACATTATAAAGTATACGTATAAGAAATGAACAATGTTTTAATAATCCCCGAAATACGATATATAATTACAATTAAAAGAAACCATTAAATAAATTCTTCTGAATCTGTTATATGAATAAATGATGGATAAAATAATTAAAATGTGAACAAAACACTAGCGATAGAAGAAAATGAAAGAAAGAGCTATAAAATCGTTGTATTAAAGCATTTGTTAACTTTGTTTTTCTCAAATCTATATCTATTACAATAAAGAGCACATAAACACAAATCGATTCTTTAAGGACTAAGGCATTCATTTACAGCTATACTGCCGTTAAGTACTATTCATTTCCATAATTAACTGTTTCTTCTCACTTTTGGACTCAAATATATTGTCGTTTACTTTAAATAGTCTTAAAACTAACACCAAATTAAATGAATTAATAAAAATAAATGTATTTTTTCCTATCGTTTTAAATAAAGTTGAATCTATAATACTATCACAATTGGTATCATTTCATATTACTTTACAATACATTCGTATTGAGTTAATAATAACAGAAACTATTATTAATATATTATAAATGTTAATATTAGGACCGATTTGTTTCTCAAAAACTACTGTATTAATTATATTTAAATGTTTTCGTTAAAACTAATATTCATATCATTAGAATTTCAGTTATTATAGTAAATACAGCATTAAGTTATCTGGAAGAAAGAGGTGGCCTTTAATCTATCTGAAAATTGACATTTTTCAAAAGTCAACAAATATTTATATCTCGTCTCTCAGAATAATGATGACACGAAAGTGACATATTATAAGTAACAATAACTAAATCCTCGATATCTTCCGTTGCAATATATCTAAAGGTTATCAATATTTAAATCTATTTATTTAACAATTTATTTATAATATGAATGTCAAATGTATGGCAATTTTTAATTAGTTAAAATCTATAGAAATCTATGGAATAAAGAGTTGTTTCATTATATTTACATTAATTAAACAAATAATGTTAAAAATATTAACAAAATTATTAATATTCTTAACGAAAAGCTTCAAATAATAGACGGTTTGTTGTATTTTAATCCTATATTAATTGGCATTTATTTTCTTGAAACTAAATGTAATTCATTATAACACTGACGAAATGCTAAGCAAATAGTTTGCAATTATTATGAAAGGCACGCAAACTGTTCTCGTATTTTAGCAATAAATAAACTAAAATAAAAAGGTTTTAGGGATGACATCAATTTAATTGTAAAGTAAAACAAATTGTGTCAAAGAGAACAAAGCGACTCAACTCTCGGTCTGTCTGTGCGTTAATTTGTCTCTTTTGATCCATTTCTTTGCTCTCATCAATGTTTTACCCAATCGTGAGGACAAGGAAGGGGTCGATGGGGTTGTCGTCGATTTGGAGACAGAAGCCATGGCTTCGTCTGGCTTTGCATTTTCTGTCGACGAGAAAGAGGCCTCACTTTCATTAGTTTCTGTCAAATCATTAGCGTTTGACGTTTGAGACGATTCTTGTAATTCTTCTCTTTCATCGATCGGTAGTAATAGAGAGTTCGGTCGGGAAGACAGCGAAGAGCTGTTTCGGGAAACACCGGCTTTTGTGCCGCGCCTTCGGTGTAGACTTCGGCTGTATTTGCGTTTACGGTTGAAATGCCATTGAAATGGAGTTCCGCTGCTTTTGGGCCGACATTCATGTGATGAGGATTGGGATGAGTTCGGCAGAGAAGTGGCATTTGAGTCACCCTTAGGAGACGATTCACTCGCTTTTGACTTTTCAACGCAATGCTTATGGAGTACACAATTAGATCCACCAGATCTTGAATATACCTTTAATATATTTGATTCAACACAATTCAAAAGTTCAATATTACAATTAAACCATTTTATGCTTGCGTTTAATTTTTAACAAACAAATCCTTTCTCTAAGCAAAGCGTGAAATAAAAATAACATGAAATTTATTGAAAAAATGTGACCCAATATAGAGCCAAGACTTGACTAATTCGTGTTAAACATAACCCAAACTACTGTCAAAAAAGTGTCTGAAATGAAACGAGAAATGCATAAAACATTGGATAAAAATAGGAAATCGATGTGAAGTATTGATTCCTCGCATACATTGTTATATTCTTATAATTTCCACTATTTATAAACATTTTCGCTCAATATTATGTAATTTGATGTCTCAACCAAATGCCTGAATGTGTGCAACAATTCAATAGATTGACATATCGTTAATTTGATGTAAAAATACATTTTATTTTATTTAATTAATTGTTATGATATAAATATTCTTTAATCATTCAATTGACAACGCATTGCAAATAAAAACTAAAGCATTGTTTATAGAGATATAATTGATATAAAATGTGAAAGACATACCTCACAAGGACTGGAGACAGGACTTTGTCCGTTGGGATCGTAACCAAACTCAACGTAATGTCTCACAAATACAGCCCTTTGTTCGCGAAATACTTCAGTGACGGGTGAGACGGGACTACTCGCCGGTGATATATAGAAAGGGTTAGTGTTTGCATAACTGCGACCACTTCTGAGTACGTGTCCCGTATTGAGTCCGCCATGACTTGTCTGTTTGAGCCGAAGAATCTTTGAGCGACAGATCACACATCTTAACGGAAGCATTCGTTGGCTGACAACCATTTGAATGGTTTTGACAAAACATTTACGACACACCACCCGATGTCCACACGGAAACGTTTGCATTGTTGCTTTGGCACTGATGCAAATCACACACTACAACATACAATATACCACACATACATTTGATTAGCAAACTTTAACACTTTGGTTTTAATTATATATTTATAAAACAAATCCAATGCATGAACAGTAAGTGTACTTTATATCAGCCATTCTATTATCTAATATAAGCAATACAAGAGGGACTTCACCCTTAAAAGTGGTCATTATGGTAAGATTGAAACACATAATAGCTTTAGTGTAGTATTATATCAATATCTATTGTAAGGCTAATAATTGAAGTTGGTGCTTTGTCAAATTGCTCTTTAAAAATGTAACTTATTATTGACAATATTACTTAATAATATTAAATTAGTTTGTGGCTACAGTAAGTTCATTAACAATTACCATCAATATTTATAACTATTAATACAGTATATTATTGTTAAAGAAAGAACATTGAAATAATGAATAATGTATTAATGAATGATTTATGCATGATGCATATTAATACTTCTACAAAGTAATTAAAATAATTAGTTATAAATATTCTATTTATTTGAGACTTATTGTAAATCAAAGGTTAATATTATTGAGTGCTATTAATTAATGAAGTAATGAGTAAACAGCGTAATGGCCGTAATGGCACTCCTCCTATATTTAGACATTTATGTTTTAATAGTGGATAAAAGTGATTGAAATGATGTCATCCATTAAAAACATATTAAGAATCCAGTATTTGTTTCTTTCTTGCTTTGCATTATCTGTATGTTGTGTGAAACGAGCTGTTGGTATAATCTATAGAGTCTATAGTATAGAGTATACTATAGACTCTGCAAAGTATAGCTATTTTTAGAATTGAATCAATTCCTAACAATTTCCAAAATATTCTCTCCGTATATAATGTACAATATATTTATCTCATAATACTTTCCATTAGTTTTCTATCATTAATGAGAACAATACACTCTCATCGCTAATACTCTTTCATTAAGTTAAAGCTGCAATCGTTTAACGATGTCTTGAAAAATTTATTTCATTTATTTTGACAAAAATGTTAACTATTTTTGATATTTTAAATCATATCATAACACATAAATAGGTCTATCATTATATAATTGACTGAAAAGTTAATTTGATTGAAAGACTCAAAGAGTCTATACCTCTTCATCCGGTGATGTCGCCAATTGGGGGTCGTTTTCATCCTCGAGTTTGATCAGGAGTTTGTCCTTTGAATAGACACAAGAAATCAATAGATTTACAAACAATGCTATGAATAAGTTTGAGAATATATGTCAGCGTTTCTAACAATAAAACCCAAACTCAGGAACTCATAGAAAGTGCTTCTCATAATTCATTATAACTAACACTCAATTTATAGGTTTGCCTAAAATAGCTCCCAAATAATCGATAGCTTTAGATATTGTATTTGTTAATTGTGTCTTAATTACTAAAACAATTGTAAGACATTATTAAAGAAAAAATTTATTTATAAAAATTAAATAAAATATAAAGAACAGACAGTTAAATGCAAAAAATAAAATAAATGTCCATTTCGTGATAGAAACTGAAATCGTTAAATTCTGTCAATTAATTAAAAATAAAAAAATTGTAACACAAAGAAAATATATTGTTATAAAGTAATAGTTTTTGAGATCATTCGTTGTAATAAAGATGACATCGTTTGACATTTAAGCCCAACTTCTTATATTTTCCTCTCTCTCTCTCTCTCTCTCTCTCTCT